ATTACTCTGTTCTGAATAAATTGCAGTGTGGCACCCAAGACAGAATAGAGTACTTTAGTAAGATCAGCCATATTGCTTCTTTCTATTTATTTATTTATTTTTGAGACAGGTTCTAATTCTGTCACCCAGGCTCACTTCACTGCCACCACCTCCTCCCAGGCCCAGGTGATCCTCCCACTTCAGTCTCCCAAGTAGCTCGGATTACAGGTGCACACCACCACACCCAGCTAATTTTTGCATTTTTGTAAAGACAGGGTTTTGCCATGTTGCCCAGGCTGATCTTGAACTCCTGAGCTCACATGATCCACCTGCCTCAGCCTTCCAAAGTACTGGAATTACAGGTGCTAGTTACCACCCCCAGCCCATTGCTTCTCTTCTTTTAAGTAGGATACTTCTGTTTATTCAACCACAGGTTGCATTCACGTTTAAAATGGCTGTATCATCCAGGTGACTGGTATTGATCTTGTTCTCAGGCAAGGCCTTTAATCTGTTTTTATACAAGTATTTCAGACAGAAGAAAAGAGAGTGCATGCATCAGGGAATCTAAACTACCCAGAAGTCCTAGTATGCCTCCAGTTGCATCTTATTGGCCAGAAGTGAACCATATTTCCATCCCCAGCTACAAGGGTATCTAGGAAGATAGGTAGCCAGTTGGTCACATTGATACTCCCAGTAAGTCAGGGTTTTGTTACTGAGTAAGCAAGAGAGAATAGATACTAACTAGACATTAAGCAGTTTCTGCTGTTACTTATTCAGCTGAGAGACTTTTCTTCTATTTTGCTAATTTTGTTTTGGAATGAATGGTTGTTAAATTTGATTATTTTTTTCAGTATTTGTTGAGCCTGATAATTTTTCTTTTTTAATGTGAAATTTTGGTGAATCACATTAACATTTCTAGTGTTATAACACTCCTAATTGTTTTTTTTTTTTGCTTTTAGTACACTGCTACGCTTTGTTTGCTACTATCTTGTGAGAATTTTTGCATGTGTATGCATAAATGAGAGACTTGCAATGTTTATTTTTCTTGTCTAAACCACCCATCTAGTTGAGTTTCAGAGTTATACTATCGTCATAAAATTGGTTGGGAAGCTCTTTCTTCTTTCCTGTTCTCTGAAGCAGTTTACATGTAATAGAGATTGTCTCTTCCTCTCCTGGGACGCCATGTGGGCCCTAAGTGTTGTCAATATGCTTGTGTGTGTGTGAAACTTGTATGTAGATGTTTTACTGGGGATTTGATTTCTTTTGTCATAGATCTGTTCAGGTTACCTAATTTAGATCATTTTATAACTTCTGTGTTTTTAGTATATCTTCCATTTAGCCTAATTGTTCATTTAGTTGTTTATAGAATTCCTTTAAGTTTTTAATTTCTTATACCAATAGCTTTAATCTCTTACAGCTATGTCCCCTTTTCCATTTTAACATATTTTTAATGCCTTTTCTCTTAATGTTGTAATTATCTCTTTTATTAGTCTTTTTCCAAGAGTCAACTGTTGGTCTTATCAATCCTCTCAAGGTCATTATTTTTTATTTTATTGTATTTTTGTCATTGTACTTTCTTTGGGCTCCTTATTCCTTGATTGCTTAGCAAATTAATTTTCTGTGTGTTTTATGTTCTAATGTATGCACATAAGATTCCATGATGATTCAGTTCACTAATCAGCACTCTTTGGTATATTCGTTTGAGGAGTTACAATACACCTAATCGTGCTTACTTCCTAGCCATCCCTCTCCATCCAGCCCATGGAGACATTGTGAGAGACTTGGCGGCTGCCGTCAATCCAGGCAACACTGCCTACTGTCTTTCCCCGGCGCATTCACTGTAATAATCCTGGCAGAGGAAAAACAGAGGGTGGTCTGAATTACCTTTAGTTCTCACAGTCACCAGCTTATTTTCTCAGTATTCACAAATTATCCTTGTAGCACTTACACACTGGAGGTGCAAAATCCACCTTCTTTATCAAATACCAACAACAGCGATTCCTGATTTTATTTGTAAAACCCTTTCTCTGAGAGCAAAGGCAGTGGGTTCTGGCCAAAGGCTCACGGCAGAGGTTTCTGCTCCCTTCCTTTCCGACAGCTGTGCTACCCTTTTCAGTCTGAGATGTACTCTCTTCGACAGAAAAGACCAAAAGCAAATGGGATTTTGAGAACTCCTGATGACTTTGTCCTTTCCTTTGCTTTTGTTAGAAAAGGAGCTGAAACAGCATGTGCATTTGGCCTTGAACTCGTTTGCAAACTACATCTCAATTCAGTCTTCATTTTTTCTACTGCTCTTCACATAGGCTGATGCCACCTCCTGCTTCCTATTTTAACAGTTGCGTTTTAAACCATGTCTCATGGACCATCTCTCAGTGATACTGGACTTCTCTTAACCTGTCTACTCTGTCTCTTTATCTCTAAAATGACAGGGTTGGCTAGAGGATCTGTAGGGGCAGTCCAGCCCGAAAAGCTGTCCTGTCCTCCAGGAAAGCAGAGTGTTTTGTTCAGCTCCATGCCTCCGTCTCTGAAACCCATTGATGTACCCCACATCCCCAGAGAACCTTTTGTGCTGGCTGTGAATTCTGTTTCCAAGCAGGAAAAGAGAAATTTTTCCTGAGGGGAGCAATTACATGAGTAAAACTTAACTTGGTGTTTTTTTCTCAAATGGAAAGAGGAGTCTTTAGGGGGAAGCTGAGAGGAGACCTGTGTTAGGACTGTATGTCCTGGGATCACATCCTTCTTTGTCTGTCAGTCAGGTGACTGGTGAGGGTGCCCCTCACCTTCTGAGCCACTGTTTGATTTGTGACAACCAAGAAGTAGGATAGTACTACCTCTTTCAGTTTGAAGGGTAGATGTAAGGGTGACAAAATCGTGTGTAAAACACATGTAAACTATTAAGCACTATATTCACTTAACGGCTATTACTGCTATGGAGGCTCTATCCTACGTTCTTTCCCAAAGGAGAAAAATCATACAATACAAGCAAGTTCTGTACTACGTTGTCTTTTGTAATCAAAACAGAAGTTATTCAGTGAGCTTTTTTCTCTGCATAACAGAATGGTAGAACTTTGCTGATTGTCTGCTTTTTTGCAACACATAGGAAAACCTTGCTCCAATATAAAGCACCATTCAGATAAGAGGTATACCTGTAGTTGTTACTTCGTGCGGTTCTTTGTCTATTACCTGTTGTCTCCTCACTTTTCAGCATGTCACAAACATGAGCTCAAACACACAGTTCATTTTCATAATGAGAGGTTCCTGATGAATGACGTGGATGATTGTTCAAGGGGTTTTCTTCTTTAAACAATTTCCATACAGACATAAGCCATGTTCCCCCTAGGCACCTGGAGACTTGCAAATCAAGATTACAGCAAACAACTTTCCCACTACTCTGTGGCGAGACATCTAGACCAGGTATCCCAAGCACACAAGAATTCGTCCTTGCATCCAACAGCATGGGCAAGATGCATGCTCTTTCTCAGCTGTCCACAACCTATCTGTGAAATGTTAATCTACATTGCAGACACAAATCAAGCACCTAACTAAGCCTGTTATGAGTTGGCCTTTCAAAGAGACATGCTCACTTGATGCAGCTTTATGATAGCTTCTCACCAGCCTCTCTCATAAGGTCTGAGTTTTCGGCTGCCTGCTGGACACCTGGCTCTGGATTTCCCACAGTACCTCAAAGACTCAGGAAGATGAGACACATCATTTTCCCCAGATACGATCTTAGGACCGTGTTCCCTAGAACCATGCTCCCATTTGCCCGGCCTAGAAACTTTGACCGTATCTTGGGCAGCTCTTTTCTTTCCATTCTCACTTTTCCACTTCATTAGTCCCTCCCCACCCCCATATTAGATTAAATTACTACAGGAGTCTTTGATTTCAGCTCCCGAACAGGTTTTCCTACTTATATTCTCTTAAATCTCCCATTGGTCCTTCATGCTACCCCAGAATTACCTTCCCAGAGTTCAGGTTGGGCCATGCTGCTATGTTGGCTCCCTGTCGTCTAAGGAGTCAGTTCCACACTCCTCAGCATAAGGCTCAAAGCTGTTCCTTAGGGGTTTTAATATTATCAGTCGGAAAGCATTCACCTGGATATTGTGAAATACTCAATACTCACTCAAAAGTGACTTAAACAAAGGAAATACTTATTTTCTCACCTAACAAAAAGTCCTGAGGCCTCAGGATCCAGGCCTGGCTTATTCAGCAGAAGGGCACAGGGATCCAGGTGCTTTCCCCTTGCTGCTTTGTGACTGTCAACACGCGTGAGCCCTTTTATCCTTGGGCCTCCCCGTTTGGTAAACAACAGTGGCCTGCCTCAGCTCAAGCACGTCTCCCACGCATAACTGCGGAAAAACACGTTAGTTCTCTCCTCTTGACAAAACCTGCCCCCATGAGCTGCCTGGCAAAGTTTTCCTTGTGTCTCACAGACCAGGAGTATATCCCACTCCCATGCCTATCAATCACAGGCAAGAGGAGGGTTTGTCGTGTTCAGCGTAAGCAAATCAGTATCCATAATCTGACCCTAGGGCTCTTCCAGCAAGAAAGAAAGTAGGCTGGGGAGAGGGGTAGGGAAGCCAGCATGAGCACCTGCTAAGCTCCGTTCTTAGCCCCACCCACACACCTCAGGCCCCAGGGTTATCACTGCTCTCAGAAGTCAGTGCGTGTTTCGTTTCTCTATGGATTATTCCCTTTCCTCTCACCACATGCCTGCAGTGTCTTTCTCTGCCTTTAGAAACACTCGATTCTTTGTATCTGTTAGGTCCAAGCTTCTTCTAATGCACCAGTCAGCACGAGTCCTCCACAAGGCATGGTGTTTAGAGTGCATCCCTCACTTTTGTTTCTTCCTGTCTGTGTTATGATTGTACACATGGCTTCTATTCCTGTAGACGACGTGGTCCCTATTTGAGTGAGCCTTCTCCCTCCCATAGCCCTTATCACAGTGTCTTAAATCTAGTAATAAATGTTCGCAAAGTTAAGGTGCACGTGAATTAACATTACATCTGTTTGTTTTGCAGGTCTGTGCTGCCAACATAGTCTCCCAAGAGGGTGAACAGAACGGTCTCATGGGGAGAGTGGATGAAGGTGTAGATGAATTTTTCACCAAGAAGGTGACCAAAATGGATTCCAAGTGAGTTCGGTGTAATTTCATTGATAATGCTATTTAATTCATATTTAAATTACTGACAGTTACAATTAAACTTAGTATACTATGTTTCATTTTATGTGTGGAAATTACTCTTCTGAAGTTCACAGAATATGGTCTGTGAGCCGGCGACACCAGTGTCAACTGGGACCTTGTTAGAAATGCAAATCCTCAAACTCCTACCCCAGACCTACTGGATCAAAAACTCTGGAGGTGGGGCCCAGCAGTCCATATTTTAAGAAGCCTTCCAGGTTATGCAGAGGCAGGTTCCGGTTTGAGACCATTGTACGAATCTAAACCAGACCACAAAATGTACCACCCCAAGATTCTTTTAGGCTTCATCACTTGGACAGTTCCAGTACAGGGTAGTGATCGTGGGTGTGCTGTAATTACTTACTCTGAACTTCTCCTTGTTAATAATTTGATATATTGGGTTGGGGGGCTACGTCATTGTTAAATGGTATAATTTAACAGACAGTGTAAAATGACAGCAGAATTAGTAAACAGGCCTAGAGTTAGCATTTTCTCAAGAGTTTTCTCCACGTTTTCTTGCTACGGAGACAGTTTCCTTAGAAGATAGTTCAGCGATGCTTTTTTTTTGTTAACAGTTCTTTAAGTTGAAACATTCCAGTGTTTAGGCGTGATTTCTACCAGGTTATTTAATCCCCAACTAAATACAAATCTGTCCCAAAATATACTCTTAACGTGGATTTGTCTTTATGAAGTATTTTTCACCTTGAGATATCAAAGTCAGGAACAAATGTAAGCCAGATAAGCCAAAGGCGGCAGGCTGGACACAGGTAGGGAAGCAACTCATCAATTCTGTTAGATTGATGTGTCTTATTTTGCCTCTGCAGGATGGTGAGGTGGCAATGAGTTAGATTTTTATATCCATAACAGTGTAACTTACTGAATCTTATAACCTTTAGGGTCCAATTATTTGTTTTCTTTGTCCCTGGCCTTGAAGCTTAGCATACTATACTTGGCAAAATTTTATTCTCCTATCTTTCAAGAAGCAACCTAATGTCATTTATTCTTTGAAGCTTTTCTGGGACTGTTCCTCCTGCCCCCGAGTTAATTGCTGTTTCTCCGCTGCTGACTTAATACTTTTCTTTCTGTCCTTTGCATGTATCTGTTAGAGCCCATGTAATCCTTTAAATGTTTCTTTGTGGGTTTTTTTTTTTGTTTTTTACAACTTAAGGGATAGATGAATGTGTTTTCAGTATGGAAGATTCAAGGAAAACCAACATAAACAGAGCAAAATGGGAAATCACTATTAATGATTTGCTTTCAAGTCTTTTTTCCCAAATCGAATGCTGTTCTTCATGAGCAATGCCTGGGTCTTGTTTTGTTACAGTTTCAATGTCTAACACAGCCCATGACATATAGTCTGCCCTCAATTAGTGATGGTTGAATGAATGGAAAAAATCTTGACTTGTCTCCATATAATTTGCAGGTACCATTGTTTGCGCTTGTCTTTTTAAACTTCTGAAATTTCTATTCAGTTAGTGGGGTGGTTGTAAGCATTCGATCCGAACTGTACATATTGTTGTACCTGCCCCAGTGTGATTTCCTCTCCTGTTAATGCTACTTTCTTCTTTAATAGACTCTGAATGAAAGTTGGGTAAATTGTGTAAGGCATAAAATACGTATTTTTTTTATGAAGATACTGCTCAAGGAAGATTCCGTTTATGTTTCAGTGCACAAATAGAACTAAACACATCAATTTTCATCATCAAGTAATGTAATGGAGCCTGCTAAACATTGTGATTTTAAAGTTTTTTATAAAAAATAGATTGTTGTCAGTCTGATTTTTTAAAGGGCAAAGCATAGGTAAATAATCATGAAGTAGTACAAAGAAAGTTTGAAAATCAGAGTTATAGTTTAAAGTGTCAAGTGTTCTACAAAGGCTTGAGGTTCCTAACCCACTCCCTATTCCCCAGAGGCAGCTGATTTTTATTCCTTGAGCTGTTTCTTCCATTTGTCTTAATAGCATGCTTCCTACTTTCTGTTTTCTGTCTTTTGCTTTTAGATAGTACTATAACTATTAACTTCTTACTTAGAGGATGATAATACAGACTGAGTCTCTCTTACCTGAAATGCTTTGTGACCAGAAGTGTTTTGAACTTGGAATTTAAAAAAAAAATTGTATTATAATCTTGCTAGTTTCACATCCCTAATCTGAAATTCAAAATGTTCCAATGAACATTTCTTTTGAGCATCATGTTGGTACTGAAAAAGTTTCAAATTTTGGAGCAATCCAAATTATGGTTTACAGATACTCAACCTATATACTCTGGCACCAAACGCACACACACATACACACAAACACACACACGTACTTAGATACACACACTTTCCTTTCCTCATCTTCTTTACTTAATTTTATCATGATTGTTGGTGTCTTAGTCTGTTTTCTATTGTTATAACAAAATACCTGTGAGTGGGTAATTTATAAAGGAAAAGAAGTTTATTTAGCTCATGGTTCTTGAGGCTGGGAAATTCAAGTTTGGGTGGCCACACTGGTTGGCTTCTGCTGAGGGCCTCGTGCAGCATCATGGCATGGCAGAGGAGTGAAAGGAGAATCGACTGTGTGCCGAAAGAAAGGGGAGGCTGACCCACTTCATGACACCCGTCTCTCAAGAACATACCCATTCCCATGAGAACTAATCCAGTCTTACTAATCAATTTTAATAACCTAATCACCTTTAACAGGTACCACCTCCCAATACTGTCAAAACTCATGTTGAGCCCACGCCTGGGTAGAGCTTCTCGACTGGTGGGCTTCAATGTAGGGTGGTCTTCTGGACCATTTTGTTGGGGGAGAGGGTATTTTTGACTTCAGGTCTTTTCTGTTGAGCTTCAGAAACTTTGATCTCCCTTCTGGTGGGTGTAAACCTCCCTGCGTGATTCTGGCATGCAAAGTGAGAAAAGGGGTCCTGTGGGTGTCACTGCTTAATGTGCAGGCTTTCTTGAGCCTACCTGTTTCGTGATCCACACTCAGCTCAACTGCATTTGGTGTCCCCCAGCTCATCTTCTTTGCTTCATTCTTTCCAGAGAATGGAGAGATGTTGGGATGGACATCATTGCCTCTGTGGTTTAGGGAGAGGATCTGATGATTTTTTGAATGGGCTTCATAAGGAAAAGAACCTTTCTGTCTTCATTTCCCCTTCACTTCCACTTGCAGAGGTGCCTGTATCTCCTCATTGTGGAGCCAGCACAAATTACATGCTTCTGGGTCTCCCCGACTGTTGGCTTAGGTTTCAGCTTTCACTTGTCTGTTAAGTCATTTTTTACACATAGCTATTGTATTTTGGCTTCCAAATTTTGTTGCTTTTGCCTTTTCTCCCCTGTTGGGCTTATGCTTTCTTTTATAAATCCTTTGCTGTTTTTTTTTTTTAAATATATATAATTTATTATACTTTAGGTTCTGGGGTACATTTGCAGAACATGCAGGATTGTTGCATAGGTACATATATGGCAGTGTGGTTTGTTGCCTCTATCCCGGCGTCACCTATATCTGGCATTTCTTTGCATGTTATCCCTCCCCAACTTCCCTACCCTTGCTGTCCCTCCCCATTGCCCTCCAACAGACCCCAGTGTGTGATGCTCCCTTCCCTGTGTCCATGTGTTCTCATTGTTCAACACCCGCCTATGAGTGAGAACATGCGGTGTTTGATTTTCTGTTTTCGTGTCAGTTTGCTGAGAACGATGGTTTCCAGATTCATCCATGTCCCTACAAAGGACACAAACTCATCATTTTTTATGGCTGCATAGTATTTCATGGTGTATATGTGCCACATTTTCCTTGTCCAGTCTATAATTGATGGGCATTTGGGTTGGTTCCAGGTCTTTGCTGTGGTAAACAGTGTCACAAAGAACATATGTGTGCATGTGTCTTTATAATAGAATGATTTATAATCCTTTGCATATATACCCAGTAATGGGATTGCTAGGTCAAATGGAATTTCTATTTCTAGATCCTTCAGGAATCGCCACACTGTCTTCCACAGTGGTTGAACTAATTTACACTCCCACCGACAGTGTAAAAGTGTTCCTATTTCTCCACATCCTCTCCAGCATCTGTTGTATCCAGACTTTTTAATGATCGCCATTCTAACTGGCTTGAGGTGGTATCTCAATGTGGTTTTGATTTGCATTTCTCTAATGACCAGTGATGATGAGCATTTTTACATATGTTTGTTGGCCTCATAAATGTCTTCTTTTGAAAAGTGTCTGTTCATGTCCTTCACCCACTTTCAAATGGATTTGTTTGTTTTTTTTCTTGTAAATCGGTTTTAGTTCTTTGTAAATTCTGGATATCAGCCCTTTGTCAGATGGGTAGATCACAAAATTTTTTCCCCATTCTGTTGGTTGTCAGTTCACTCTAATGATTGTTTCTTTTGCTGTACAGAAGCTCTGGAGTTTAATTAGGTCCCATTTGTCTATTTTGGCTTTTGCTGCCAATGCTTTTGGTGTTTTAGTCATGAAGTCCTTGCCTATGCCTGCGTCCTGAATGGTTTTGCCTTTTCTTCTAGGGTTTTTATGGTGTTAGGTCTTATGTTTAAGTCTTTAATCCATCTGGAGTTAATTTTAGTGTAAGGTGTCAGTAAGGGGTCCAGTTTCAGCTTTCTGCACATGGCTAGCCAGTTTTCCCAACACCGTTTATTAAACAGGGAATCCTTTCCCCATTGCTTGTTTTTGTCAGGCTTGTCAAAGATCAGATGGTTGTAGTTGTGTGGTGTTCTGTCTGAGGCCTCTGTTCTGTTCCATTGGTCTATATCTCTGTTTTGGTACCAGTACTATGCTGTTTTGATTACTGTAGCCTTGTAGTCTAGTTTGAAGTCAGGTAGCGTGATGCCTCCAGCTTTGTTCTTTTTGCTTAAAATTGTCTTGGCTGTGCGGGCTCTCTTTTGGTTCCATATGAAGTTTAAGGTGGCTTTTTCCAGTTCTGTGAAGAGGGTCATCGGTAGGTTGATGGAGAT